GCTGTTATTCCAAAACCTCTTTTGCTTCTGTGCAATATCAGTTCAGCACCTGGGGGAAAAACACAAACAGCTCCCCTCACCTGCGCTAACGCTGGCCACCTGTAGAGGCTGCTCTTGGACCTCTCCTCTCCATAATAAATAATAACCTCCTGATAATGCTGCTCTACACAACTGTTGCCAATCACTGGGTGTTAAGTATTGTGGATACACCTTAATGAATTTCAACAAAGTTTTAGGTTTATAATTTCAAAGATACAGTTTTTCAATTTCTTGTTCCTCCAAAACCTTTTTAATCTGATCCTTGTTCTTCCAAAACTCTTTTAATCTGATAATACAGTTCATGCTTACTTTATACGTTTCCCATATTCTCAAATATTCTTAAGTTCTTGCTTACTCTGTACGTTTCCAAATATTCTTAAGTTCTTGCTTATTCTCAAATATCCTTAAGTTCTTGCTTACTCTGTACGTCTCCCATATTCTCCAAAATTCTTTTAATCTGATAACTCTTTTCCTGATCGCTCCCAAGAGGCAACATCTACAGACCCTTCCTCAAGAAACCAGGGGACCTCTGCTGCGATGGTATTCAAGAATTTTTCTACCGTCTCAGCCTTTATCTTGATCCTGCCACGTCCTAAGAGCTGCACTAACGCAGTGTGCACTTTCGCTTTCGAGCCGCCAGTACCCATTTTCTTTGAATTGCTTCACCTCGTCCCTTTTTGGGAGCTTTAACCTCTATCCCTTTCAGGGAACCTTGTCCTCATCCCTTTCAGGGAACCTTGTCCTCGTCCCTTATCCGGGGACCTTCCTCTGCATCCCTTATCCGGGGAGCTTCCTTGTTTCTTTTAGGGTTTTATTGCTAGCACTATTATTTCATTTTTTACTTACAACTCCGGAGCATCAGTTTGTTCCCGTATGGGCCACCATTTGCCGCGAGCCGGGACTCTGTCCAGCAGAGTCCAGGAAAGACGACACAGACACCAAGGTGAGGTTCAAGCTTCTGTTTCTCTTCCTTTCTTTATTCTTTCTTATTCTCTCTCATATTCTCTTCACTATGATGCTGTCTCCTATGATGCTGTCTCCTATGATGCTGTCTCTGTCTGTCTCCTACCTCTGTCTGTGTCTCTGTCTGCTCTGTCTGTGTCTCTGTCCCCTATTACACACTTCAGCTCTTTATATAGCGTTTCCAACAGCCCTCCCCCCAGCCGGTACCAATCAGGGCTCACACACGTGCAGCGGCCAGGCAGAGTGTAGCCCATAGGCACGTAGCAAGATCATCAGGCTGGCAGCACCTGTTTTGGGGCTCACCATACTTCAGAGTTGGGGTAAACAAGCGGGATTCACAAGCCTTGGCAATCAGCCAAGAGTTGAAGTAAACAGCACGAGGTTTGGCAGCCAGCCAGGGCTCCATCTTTGGCTGGCTCAGCTATGCTCGCTTCCCACACTGATAGTAATTCTTTATCAATGCCTGCTAAATACCAGGAACATGTGTAAAGTAGAATTACATCAGGTTGAAGTTCTATTTTTAAAAAAGTAATACACTCTCAAGTCTTGTGCTTTACAAGCTCTACTGGAAGCTATTCTCAACTGCTGAGGCATGTGACTTTGGCAAGCTCGGTTAAGTAAATCTCAATTTCCTTGTTTGGAATCCAGGGATAGCAGTGCTACTTCGCCTACCCCACAGATTTAGAAGGATGAGTAAAAGAGACAATTTCTGCAAAAACATGCCATCTCAAAACACTTTCATAAGGGTTCCTCTTGTGCACTTTGTAGATCCATGTTGGGATTCTCATTACTCATTTTAGATGTAGTAACTAGAATCTTCCTAAAGAGGTGAGTTGCTGGTTTTCTTACAAAAGATATTCAAACCTCACTCCAAATGTAGGCAACCCAACACTGACTGCCAGATTTTACTTTCATCCTTATAGAACCTCTCATATACATGGGTAATGCTTTTTATTTTCTTTTGATATTGTCAATGTCTAAAATAAATATTCTGTTATAGCATTCCTCAGTAAGGTGAGACAGTGATAAAATCAAGTTGTAAAAACTATGATAATGGAAGGCAACATCTTACAATAGGTAAAACTGGGTTCTAAACTTTGACTTTTGTATTCAAAAGTATCCCAGATCAGCCACTTACTGATGATCTTTTATCAATTTACTTAATCTTTGCAGTTTTACATTTCTTCTTCAGTATCATGGAAATAATCATAACAGACCCTTTGTCACAGGACCGCTGACAGGATATAACTTTGGTAAAGTTCTAGTACAGTCTGATACATGGTAAGCATTAAATAAATCCTTATTGGTTAATTGTCATCTCTTTTAGATGCTTTTACCTTTGACTAACATGATAAATTTACAGATTAATTTGATAAGTAAAAGAGAAGATCATATGGGATTTAATCCCAAAGGAACAAAATCATCCCAAATTTTCCCATATACTATTGGAATAGTCTAGTAACTATCCCAGGTCAGCCGCCACTACAGTGAGAATAAGGAATTCCTGTTTTGGTGTGGGGTGACCGTGTTTGCAGTCATGGCTCTTCCTCAGCCTGGCAGTGAAGCACACAATCACATCTTTCTGTTTGCTCCTGTCCTTGTTCATGCTCACTAGGTACAAAGACAGGAGGCTGGCCCAGCACAAGTCGGAAATAGAGTGTTTCACCCCCAAAGGGAGTATGGGGAATGGTGGGAGAGCAACAATGAGCAGGTAAGCAAACTGTGAGTGGCCTGAGGTGCTGTGATATCAGTGTGTGCAAGCTAGAGGAAGAGGCGGCTCCCTGGCCTGGGCCCTTGCTCAATTCTGCATCGCATCCAGTGAGGCCAAAGCAGGCCACCACTGGTTTGTTGTGTGTGTTTGATCTGCAAAACCTATGTCATCCTTATGTGAACTAATAATGGGAGCCTCCTGTCCCAGATGCTGCTGTTTCTTAGGGTTGTGCGCTTTGCATGTCTGAAGCCTTAGCTAACAGTCAGTTCTTCCTTGGATTCTCATTTATTGATCAAATAGTTCTGGAGTTTGCAAAGTGGAAGAGATTGGAGGAAATTCATATTTCAGGACTATCCAATTGCTTGATGAAACAAATGCAAAAGATTAGAACTGGGTTTGAAGGAAGGACTGCAATTGAGGGAACACTGAGCCAGGAAATTCATCTATGTTACTTTGAATGTAACAACATCTCATAGCCAAGGGCAAATATAATGCCGAATCAGTGGATTGTAATGCAAGAGACATTTCTTGAATGGAAATCAGGAAAGCGAATCCTCCTCTGACTACTATAGCTTTGCAGCTCCTTTACTTCCCTTGTGTTGGTGGCAAACACTTTCTATCGCTGTGCTGTGCATGCTCCTTTGTGGTAGGCATTTCCAACCGAGTTGTATCCAGTTAAGTGGGGTATTTGGAGCTATAAGCAACAGCTGAGCTGTGTTGCATGGAATGAACGTGCTTTTCTGCATGCAACTGGGTTTCAGGAAAAGGGCTCTAGAGACAGAGGTAATCATGGCTGTTATCAAACAGCTCCAGAATGCTGGAAAAACTTTACATTGGGAAATCCCCTCACTGTGAGCTAATGCTTCTGTTCTAACTTTCGAGGGCATTTCTCAATTCAGCTGTGGTACAGAGATATAAAGGGAAAGTGTTACAGATTATCCTATATTACAGAAATCAGGAAATAGTGTATCGATATGTGTTTGCATGTGCTGAGAGCTTGAGACCCAATTGTATAATAAGAAGATAAGCCTGTTGAGTCCTGTTGACATTTCACCCCCAAACATTCTGTTTGCTTCCTCAGTGGTGGACTCTTTCCCATTCTCAGAATAATGGCTCTTTTCTTCCAAGGACCAGTATACTACACAACTGTTGGGGGCTATTCATGGCAGTCTGTGAAAATGGTTCCAAGCCCTATATGATTGATCATCACAGCAGCCCTAGCCAAGAGCTTGACAAATCTGGTCCATGACTCCAAATGACAAAGCTATGAGTGTGCAGATGTGTAGGCACATATGAGTTTTCACCCATAATCCTTTTAAGGAGATCTTGGGTCTCAGTGTTGAGAAGATGGGTCTCAATGGATTGCTGAAACAACTCAACAGACAACTTTTAGGGATCCTAGTTTTCTTTCACTTTGATAGGACAAAGTAGCATAATTCCTGTCCTTGAGAATTAGGCAAACAGCACTGGAGCAGGATGGACAAGGTGAAAGTGATTATATCAAATGAAGGCTTAACAGCTCTTTCTGTCCAGAGTGACTTCTGATTTGAAGTCTAGAATTAGAATTCCCAAACATAGCACGCTTGGCTCCCTACCAAGCATACTGGGCAAAATGCTGTGTGTAAAACCTCAGAATTTGTCACCCTAGAGGTTTCTAAAGTCAATATAGCCAGACCATACATTACTGCTTTGGAATAAGCTATTCCTCTAGGACATTCTGTGGAGCTATCTAGGATAAGCACTAATTTCCAATTATCCTATGCCATGGACTCAGAAACATTTAATGAATTTTCAGAGCGCTCAGATCTTGTCACTCCAAAGTAGATTTTTTTTTCTTGAGGCTGTCTTTGCTGAAAACCAGAATAGGGGTACAGAAAAGTGGGGCACAGGGGGTAAAGGGCAACAGATCAAATAGACCAAATTTCTCTGAGTCAGATTCAGATCTATAGAAGTGGACATTACAATGTATGCACTACACAATAGTCCATTTTTCTACAACCCCAAGATGCCATTCTATGGCTTTTATTGAATGCCTAGTTCCAGGCGGGGACTAAAGAAAACTTAAGTGATAACTGAAACCCAATTGTGCTGCTCCATATCTCATGAACCTATTTTCTGCAGTGAAATTGGTGAAAAGATAGGTGAACTCATGTCTTGGATTATTCTCCCAGAGCTTTGGTGGCTGGTGAAGAGAAGAGTTCAATACCTGTAGCCACAGGAAAGCTGAGCTATGTCAATCTCTCACATTGTTACATTCTCAGGGTCTTATACAGGTGCTCCCTAGTTATTTATCTTTGTTCTGTGACAAAATAGCTGATAAAATGAACTTAAGGAAGGTTTATTTTGGTCTACAGTTTAAGGTTATAATCCATCATGGTTGGGAAGTCATGGTGACAGGAGCCTGAGGCAGCTGGTCACAGTGCATCTGCAGTCAGGAAGCAGGGGGTGATAGATGCAGGTGCTCAGCTTGCTTTCTCCTTTTTGTCAGGTCAAGACCTGAGCCTACAAAGTAGCATCACCCACATTTAGGAGGGGCCTTCCCACCTCAGTTAACCTAATCTTGATAACCCCTCATAGACATGCCCAGGGGTTTGTTGCCATCATGATTCTAAGTTCTATCAAGTTGACAATCAAAATTAACCCCCACTCTTCCTCCTGTACCCACACATTGATAAAGGAATTAGGATATCACCTGTACCTGTAATACTCTGGCTCCTGTCATAGGAAACATTAGAGATTTCATAGTGAACAGGAACCTCACAAAATTCAAAGATTAATACCTCATTATTTACTGTCAAAGAATACACTGTGTCAATAAAGCACCTAAGTATCAATGAATTGCCACATATTCTCTAAATAGCATGTGAATATGTGAAATGTTAACACATATATGCAACTTGGAAAATCCTAAAGTGTATAAGTAGCACTATCTTAATTTGCACATGAAAAGGGAAAATATTTATCCAAACATCTTTTTAACAGTGGAAATTCCATAATAGAAAGGCCAGGACACAGTACACTTACTATAATATGATAGGCTAGAGTGTTATAGAAAATATTTTAAAATTTTATGTCAATTATTTCTATATTTTCATCAAATGAAAGACAGGGTGATATGTTTTGTGTGAGCAGGTGCCAGGCCTTAGAACTTGAGACAAGGCACGCAGGCAGGTCTTGAGTTATTTCAAACCCAGTTAATATTTTAAAGTCTATTTGTAAAACTTGTAGTTCTGATATGAAGTATCCTAGAAAGTGATATTTGCAGACATATAATACTAAGTGGGAGTAATCACACATGCATGGCAAAGAAAATTCACAATTCAAGACAGTTAAAAATTCCAGTGCACATTCCTGTATATGTAGACTCAATGGTAGTGTTTTATATTATAATTATAGATTATAATTATTGTGTTAGCAAAGAAAATACTGGGTTACATAATGACATCTTCATACATGTACAGCACTGTACTCTGATCATAGTCACTGATCCATTACTCACATTCATCTCAGAACCATACCCACTCCTCTTCCATCCCCTAACAGCCCCTTTGAAGTTTCATGTAGAAAATGTGTGCTTCAAGTATATGCTTATATTCTTTTTATTTTTCTGGTCAGATTAAAAATGTATACTCCAAAAAAAAATCATGTTGCCATTTTCTCTTTACGTGAACAGTTGTGTGTGTGTGTGTGTGTGTGTGTGTGTGTGTGTGTGAATGTAGTATAACTTCTCATCTTGTCATCTGTATGTTTAAGAGCAGAATCCATCTGACTGTAGAAATAGAAGACAGCTTAAACAGGAAGGTGCTATAGACCTTGTCCCATTCTCTAAGCTGGCTTATCATTGCCATGTGAATTCGTACACAGATGTTCTGCCCTCAGAATGACTAAAGGTCAATAATGGATATTATTATCTCCATTCTCCACAGGGCAATGCTGTGGAATAGTTGTTGGAGTTTGTGTTCTGATGTGTTGTTGATGCTTAGTCATGAAGGATGAGCACAGTTATTCTGAACCTCTCAGTCTCTAAGAAAGGACTTCTGAGTCAAAAGAAGTAGGTACATGTATAGTCCCATCAGAGCTAGAAGATCAGAGGGAAGTGTGAGGTTATTCAATGAAGACCAAATAGAGACTATCTATTGTTGCTATTTCATATTAGTTGTATATGAAGGATTGACATCTAATCAGATGAATAACTGGTTTTCATTCAGTACCTACTGATTAAATTTTAGCAGTTATAAAATGTTTAGTGAAATCTCAGAGAATATGATCATAAAAGTCATTGTCCCAAAATATGAAGTTTGTCTTTATTCAAGAGTTTCTTCTTTCACATAAAGCTCATTTACTAAGTACCTACTATGAGACAACACTAAAAGACTATAGAAAGTGCATGAGCAAAATATGAATGTCCTTGAAATCCTGCAGCTCACTGGGGAACAGAGTCATAACTGAGAATTGTATTGCAACAAAACTCCTTTCCCTTAGAACATTGTATACATCAGATTAATTCTCTATTTTGTATCATAAACCATAGTTCGCACAAGAACAAATAGAAAGTAATTGGAGCGAAATAACAAATTTGAATTGGGCCTTCAGAAAAGCTATGATACACTGTCCAATTAAATTCAAGGTCTACAGAAGAAAAAGTTTCTGCCTTTCCAGTACAATAAGGATCACCTGGTTGCTCAACAACAGATTAAAGCTTCCATGAGTCTTCATGGTCATCCTCCTCAAGGTCAGCTCCAAACTCTTTCTAATTCATAGAGATCTAGAATATAAGAATTACAATGATCACCACCATTCCTGTAGTTACTAGCCATCAGACCCCACACTAGCCCTTTCTACAATGTTATAACCTAAGCTTTCCCAAGAACATATAAAGAAAGTACTTTCCACCATACATATGAGAGAAAGGAGTTTCAGGCATGTTAAATGACTCCCATGATAAGTAATTTAATGAAAATCCTGCAATTAAAGTGACTTTGATCAATTGATTGATTGAT